TGGTCGTCCCATATTTTTTTTTTTTTTTTTGCTTCGGGCTACCTGTTTATTAGATATGCTGCCGACTTCGAAGGGGTGCGTTGGAGGGAGTAATGTATTATGCTTCTGAGAGGGAGTACTGTACGAATCATTATGGTTTTTTTGTGCTTCTGAGAGGGAGTACTGTAGAGTTCTGCATGAATTAAAGCTTTGTATCTTCTTCTTTGATGCTATAATAAAGTTGTTGGCCTTCTTTGTCGTGGATGTAGGTCATGTTGACCGAACCACATTAAATTTTGTGTCCTTTTTTCATTTTTATGCTTTCTTTAATCATTTTTTTAATCGAATACTCTATTGTTGTGTTTCATTTCCTTGCTTCATCGTAGTAGTAACATGGCTAGTAAGGCTAAAGAACATGGTTCACCAACACTCTGGGAAAAAGAAATCAAATTGTTATTTTACGACCTCTGTATCAAAAAAATTATGATTTGGGTTTTTTGTTCCAGGTGGTGCCGGCAGCTAAAAAGTATAAAACTTGTGGGATTGAACCTGATTTGGAGGAGAAGTTAGACCTAATGTTCGGGGGTGTCGTTGCCACAGGGAAATATGCATGTGCTCCCAGCGAGATGGGATTTGGTGAAACACAGGACAATGTTGTTGTCAGCTTATCTGATGATTCACTTGAATTCACAAGTCCAGGCCCTACTGAGATTCAATCTACGAACCAATCTAAGCGATCTAGGTTCAAGAGTAAAAAAAAGGGTGGAGTTGCGTCTATCAGAAACCAGATATCATGCCTAATGGATTCTTCCAATGATGCCCCCCATAAAGTGCAGAAAACGTCAATTAATGAGGTTGTGGCTATTCTAGAGCAGGATCCGAGTATTGCAGCGGATGATGGGCTTTACTACTTTGCTGTTGAGCTGCTTCAAGATTCGGTGCAGAGAGATTTTTTCACAGCAATTGCCAAAGAGCGAAGGGTGTCGTATCTACAAAATTTTTATGAGCGCAAGAAATTTTGAATGGACTTTTTTAGTTGCTATGTCCTTATTTGAACAGTTTATGAGAAGACATGGTTATTTGAACTGTTGTTCATTGAGACTTTTCAGTTTATTTTGTATTTTACATATAACTGTCTTCATGAAAACTGCATAAATCTTATCCGTTGATAAACGTTCCTTAGAATTTCGTACCTCTCATCTACACTGAATGCTTGTGTTATTACTTGTCACATGTTAAATTATATAGGTCTGTTCCTAATGATGATTAGTTTAATAATTTATTTTTTTTTGTCAAAATATATCAAGTATAAATCATTATGGACCCAAACCAAGTACGTCGTAGAAGGAGAAACGAGCTATCAGCTTGCTTGTAGAGTACTACAACATATACATCGATCGTTCACCCCGTTACACATCATCACAATTTGGAGACAAATGAGTAGCGGAAATGCTTGTCGGGCATCCCACAAGATTTCATAACTTGTTCCGCATGACACAAGAAGTTTTTACTGATCTTTTAGCAGAACTCATAGGATCTCATGGCCTCCATGGGTCTATGAGAATGACTGACCGTGAGGTGTTGGCGATTACTCTTTATATATTATCACAGAACGAGTCAATGCG